AATGTTAAAAATTTCTTTCTTTCCTCGTGCAACCCCGCTAGATCTCTCGAAATTAGGTATATGATATTTTGTATCTGGATATGACTTCAAATAGCCCTTTTGCAAAGGATACCCGACATCCACTATGTAGTACTTGCCTGAGCAATGTTTTCTTTCATTTAGAAATTTTAAAGTAATAAGGATGGTCAAAAGCGCAACACGATTGTCATACCTGGTGGTGGATAAGGGAAACCATATTTTATGTTGCTAGTAGCAAACTTGAAAACGCGGCTATCGTGTGCACTACATTCCTATCCAGCCATCACATATGTAAAACACATATTGAAATCACAAACAGTCATTATATTTTGTGTTTGTGATCTGCATCGTCCAATGTGTGCAACTTTCTCTATGCCAGAAAGACGTACGTCGACATGTGTTCCGTCAATAGCTCCAATACAATCCTGATATGAACGAATTAATCAATAATAAAATCATATGTGTGAAATTTTATTAACTAACATTTAAATATGGGAAGCACATTAAAGAACGACATATAACGAGGGTCATTCGCAATATGTGTGGGAATGGACTGGAATGTTGGATCCTCTGGTTTGACTATTTGACGGGCTAGACTCACCAGTGCATTCAACCCAGCTGAGAAATACCTGCTAATGGTTTCGGAGGAATGTTGAAACCGTTCCATCGTTCCTCTCATCGATTCGTTCTGGGCCAAAATATAAAGTGTTATTGCCAACACCTCTCTAGATGTTGTTCTTGATGATCCTCGAATTCCGTGGAGGGACCGAAGTTCACTTAGGAGATCAAGAAAAATGATTTTTGTCATACGAAACATATTTGCAAAACGTATCGGGTGCCCATGTAATAACTCTCCGATCCATTTATCTCCAATATTGTTGGACGTCATGCGTGGGTTTCGATCTACATATGCGTTGTAGTAATGATATAACAACGTAAGGGTGAGAGTAATAATGCATATTTGATTAATTTGCCCTTCCTCCATAATACAAAATCTGGAAGGAAGGTAGACTTTTAAACCAGATTGCAAATAGTGATCTAATATCAGAAAACATATAAAAAAGGACAATATAGTAGAAAGAGTATGTGCTTGTAAATTTGACTACATGTAATAGAGATATGAAGAAAGTTACATACATGTCTCACATTTCATTGATATTTGCATATGTAAACATCAAAGTTCGATATGTAGCTAACATATTCAAGGATGAAAGAAATACAATGTGCATAACGAGTTCATCACATAAATAGAAAATAAGACAGAAAGTGTCCATCAAACAAATGGTCAATGAAGTTACATAAATAGTATTCAATCTTTCATAAAAGAGCGCAAGTAAGGAAGACGAAATTCTGGGTCTAAAGTCTCAAAGAACTGCCTCTGGGTAGAGTTCCCTAGCAACTTCACATACTTAACATACATATCCTGGTCTTCCTTAATGTCAGGATATGTGTTAAGGATCTTAACACACTCATGGATTGTGCTCTCCTTCGCAGTTTTGGAATTATTTTTGGAAATTTCAATCAATGTCTCAATAGAACCTCTAACAAATGCAAAGCCTTTTTTATTTTTTGCAGGATGGGGGCGTTTTTTTCCACCAGTAGATTGGATATCCGTGTAGATTTGGCCAGGACCTTCTCCTGAATCACCTATAGGCTCGGTCTCTATATCCTCTGCTAGGTTTGCAACACTCTGCTCATTAGGGGTGAAAAAAATGATTTCTTGTTGCTACAACACTAGTAAACATGCCATCAAACTTCTCCTCCAAAGCTGGTTCAATTCCATTAAATTTGAATTTTTTTGCCACTGACACAACCTGTAATAAAAAAAATCTAATCAATATTCCAAAAATGTCTCTAAAATTTAGTTGAAATAGTGATGTTCTTACCGCTAACTTTTCTGCCCATCATTCCTCAGGTGCATCAATTGTCCGTTTTAGTGGATCCCATCCCAATCCAGTTGATCCCCTTTTAAGCTCTTTCCAAAGTTTTCAGTCCTTTAATTGATCTCATTTGTTCTTTAGTTTCATCATATCGTAATCTCTTCCAGTTATTTCTTTGAATTTAATAGTTATATTATGCCAACCTTCTTTATTAAAAAAAGTTGTGGGTCGATTTCCCAATTCGACTTCCCTCACGCATTGATCACAAAAACTACTAGTAGCCTCTCTATCTCACATAGCCGATGAACCAGAATCTTTAGATTTACTCATCTTTTACTGTCATATCAACGGATGGTTAGATGACATTATAACTGAAAATGAGACACTTAAGATATGCATTAGACTTTTTTTTTATTTTTCTCTATTATTATAGTACCACTGTATTTGACTAATAACCAGTTGAAATTTGGAACACAGAGCATACAAGAAATTCTGAACCAATGCTAGCAAAGACAACCCAAAGGACCATAGACCATAAAACATATTTTCTTCACCCAACTTTCTAATTCAAAACCAACAACCCAACTGGCATCATCATAGCTTGTTAAAAAACATACTTGGAAAACCTGCTTCAACAACAATGTATTGGATCTACCATAATAAGATAGTCAATTTTTTTTTCGTACAAGCAAAGACAGGGGTCTCATCGAAGCAAAAAATGCTGAGTTACATAAATAGTAACATCTTCATTGAAGTAAATATGCTTATCACCATCATGGTAATAGAATATTCATTGAACCAGTGCAAACTATTTGCATAAACATAACGTGAGAGCTCAAAAATAATTATCACCCAAACTTTCATTGTTGCAAAATCACATATGCAAGAAATAACAATAGAATGGTCCCAAAAATAGTACTGACTTCTAAGAAATTATGTGACTTGTTGAAGAAAGTCAGAAAACATGGCTCAAAGAATACCAAA